AAATCAATTCCCTGTAACACAAGTGTTATCTGTTGTGAGTTCTGTGTGGCCTCTGCAATGAATTATTGAATCCAGCAGAGTAGAGTGCTGTGGGAAGAATTGTTGGTGTCAGAATAGAGTAAAGAAGGATGGAGAGTGGTGGCATTTCTGACCTCTGCCTCACTGGAATCAGCCTTGGGCAGATGCGGAATTGGATTCTTGTTCTCCCTACTAAAGTCAGAGGTAGTCAGATGAGGCATTCATGCTACTGCCTCAACAACAACGATAAAATTCATCATAGAGAAAAATAATATAATTAATAGCTGACCCCTCTTCAAAAATAATTAAAGCCAGGAAGAAGTGCAGTGGCATGGTCAAAGTGCTGGCAGGGGGGTAGGGGTGGGGGAAGTCAACCAAAAATTCAGTATCCAGCCAAACTATCCCTCAAAACAATGCTATTCACAGATAAACATACACCAAAGAATTCGTTGTTGATAGAAATCTGTCTTACAAGAAATACTAATGAAGTAAATGACAAATAAGAAGGTAGATTAAAAAAAAGCTTGCATAGATCTATTTTTCTCAAATCCATTAAAGAACATACGATTGTACAAAACAATAATTATAATACCATATTGTTTGGTCTGTAATACAAATGTATGTAGTATTTATTACAATCATGGTACAAAGAAGAGGAAACAAAATGGAGGTCTATTGGAGCTAGGGAGCAATGTTTCTATATTTTACCCAAAATGAATCATTTTAATTCATAGAGCAACCACTTAGAAAGTGGCTCAAATGTATAGTGAAAACAGCAAAGGAGTTAAAATATTACACCAGAAATATTATCCATCAATGGGGAACAAAGGAACAAAAATTGTATGAGCTAATCTAACCAGATCAATAATCATATTGAATATGAATGAACAAAACACTCTGGTTCACAGGCAGAGATTATTAGACTAGATAAAAATCAAAATCCAACTATATACCATCTATAAGAGAACATCTTGTAACACCTATGTTAATTTATATGGGATATTATCCATTATAAAAAAGATTAAGTACCATTACAGGCTACAATTTGGGTGAATCTTGAAAACATGCTAAGTGAAAGAAGCTAGGCATAAAAGGTCACCATATATTGTATGGTTTATTTGTAGAAGAAATATCTATAACAGGCAAATCAATAGATACAGAAGGAAGGCTCGTGGTTGCTAGATATACAATGGGGAATAATTATCTAATGGGCAAAGATTGTTCTTCAGAGATGCTGAAAATGTTTTGAAACTAGGGAGATCTTTCAGTGGATGCAAGGTCCAGGAGATACCAGGTGGACCCTCATTCATCAGCCTTCATTGTCCTCACCCTTTCAGTACCCCAGAAATTGACCACCACTCCATACCCCAAACAAAAAAGAAGTGGTAGTCACACAACATTGTGAATGTTTGTAAATGTGAATTGCACATATTAAGTTGTTCATTGTATATGTGTTTCACCTGAATTAATGCAATTTTTAGAAGTGATACACCTTAGACTCAAAACACAAATGGGCTGAGCATAAAGGATGCCATGTAAACAGTAACCAGGAGATATTTTTCCAAAAGAACTGACAAAAGATACAAATCCTCATAGCCAGGGAGCACACAGACACATAAATCAGAGTGAAAATGCGGGACATCAAAAATAAAGACAAAATCTTAATAGCAACCAGATAGAAATGAAAATTCCCCACATGGAAAGATAATCAGACTGGCAGCAGATTTCTCAAAAGCAATAATAGAAGACAAAAGATTAAGGAATATCTTCAACACACTGAGAAAACAAATGTTGACCTAGAATTCTATAATAAGCTAAACTATTTTTAGTGAGGGTAAAATACTTTTTTTCATTTAAAAAGTGGAGTTTTCTACAGACATTCACAGAAAACATTTACGAAGGGATAGAAAGAGTTGTATCCTTTCGCTATATGCATTCGCTCTAAATTCTGAGCAAATAATCAGACACACTGGACGAAGAAGAGCATGTCATCAGGACCGTGGGCGGGTCCATTAGCACCCTATGCTACGGAGATAACACTTTGCAGATTGCTTGCTGAAAGCCAAGAGGACTTGAAGCACTTATTAATGAAGATCAAAGCCTACCCGTCTTCAGGATGGATTACATCTCATTGCAAAAGAGAAAAAGAAAACCCACACAAATTGGGCCGATAGACAACACCATGATAAAGGGAGAAAAGACTGAAGGTGTTAAGGGTTTCATCTTACGCGGATCCACAGTCAACACTCATGGACGCAGCAGTAAATAAGCCAAATGACATAATGCAGTAAGCAAATCCTCAGCACAAGACCTCTTGAAAGTGTTAGAGAGACAAAGATGTCCCTTTGAGGCCTGAGGTGTGTCTGACACAAGCCACAGTATCTCTCAATCACCTCACATGCGTGTGAAAGTTGGACACTGGATCAGGAAGACTAGGGAAGACTAATGCCTCTGAATTCTGCTGTTAGTGAAGAATAGCGAACGTACCATGGACCACCAGAAGAACAAACAGATTTGTCTCGGATGGAGAGTCCCTTGGTGAGCGTTTGTCTCACATCCTCGGGATGTGTAATTAAGAGACAAGTCCCTGGAGAAGAATCTCCAGCTCAGGTAAGTAGAGGGTCGCAAAGAAGAGGACGACCTTCAACCACATGGATTGAAACAGTGACTGCAACCGTGGGCTCACACATATCGGGAATTCTGAGGATACTGCCAGACTCGACAGTGCTCATTCAGTTGTACACAGGTTCACAGGGAGTCAGCTTTGACTCCACGACACCTAACAACAACAGGACCGGGTCCCCTGCTGGTGCTACAGGTTAGGCATTGGACTAAAGTCAGTCGTTCAAACCCACTAACTACTCTATCGTAGGCAGATGAGGCTCTGCTCCCACAAAGATCGACAATCTTGGAAACCCTACACAGGACCACTGTGAGTAGAAATGGACTTGATGGCAGTGGGTGTGGTTTTTGGCTTCGAAGCCAGTGCACCGGGTTCTTAGGTAGCCTGAGATTAGTGCAAGAAAAGACGCCAAGCCTTTCACAATGACTTTAAAACTGCACCTGCAACAAGTAACAGTGATTGTGATTAAGAATGTATTGTGACTAGGGGGTCGGTTCACTCCAAAGTGAGGGCAAATTTCCATAACATTAAATGGGAGGTGGACGTTGCCTGTAAACTGGGTGTTAACTGCCTGTATCTGAAGTGGGGTAGGCAGTGGAGCAGGATTCCTTGGGGAGGGAAGAGTATCTACAGTGCAGTTCTGGAAATCGTAAGCTGGAGAAGTTCATTAGACATTCAAGTGAGATCTCAATACATAGATATGCATGCCTGTCACCTTTGGAAGGGTAGGGGTTGGAGATGTGAACTTGAGCGCCACCAGACTCTAGAGCATATTTAAAATCATGAGGCCACCTAAGGAGGGAGTGCGGGGGAAGTCCAGAGGTTTCTAAATGTCAGTGTTCACATTCCAGAGTACTGAAGAGGCACCCGTGATGGAGACTGACCGAGCACAGCCAGGAAGGGCCTTGAGAACCTAGGGTGTGGTTGTCCTAGAAGCCAATGGACTGATGGGAGTTCCAGGAAGGAAAGAGTCATCGGTTGTGTTGGGTACTGCTAACAGGCCAAGTACAATGAGGACTAAGCAGGGATGCGTGGGTTCGGCAACATGTTCTTGTTGCTGTTGTCACATCCGCACCCGACCCATGGTCACCCCATGCACAATGGAAGGAAACACTGCCCAGTCCTGCGTCATCCCCATAAACGGGTTGCAGATTGAACCATTAAATCCTACAGGGTTTTCCTTGGCTCTCTTTTTTGGAAGTAGATGACCAGACGTTTCTCCCTAGTCTATTGTCCAAGTCTGAAAGCTCTACCAACATCCTAACCACTGACAGCATCCTAACCACGGATAGATGGATGGATGATGGCTGTGCATGAGGTGCACTGGCTGGGAATTGAACCCTGGTCTGCCACACAGAAGGCAATAACTCTATTTGGGAACCACCAGTGGCCCCATGCAGGCTGGTCTGATCAGACTCCCTAAATCAGGAAACGTACCCCAGGAACGCGGAGAGGCTGCAGCAGTGTACAATAGGAGCATCGTCTTTTGCATTGCTTTTTCTTTTTCCAGCAAACAGTAAAAATAGCTAACCTTTATTGAGTGCTGGCCATGTGCCAAGAACATTATTATGATGCCTATTTTTAAGCAGGGAAAGTGGGGCTCAAAAAAGTCAAGTAATTTGCCCCCAGGTCACTTAGTCGGTAAGTAGCTGAGCTGGAATTCAAACCCAGCTCATGCATTTAATTGCTAAACTGTGCTGTCTCCACTTGGTTTGCGGGGAGAAGGTTTTCTATCTATAACTCAGTATGGAATTCACATTTATAAAATAGCAGGCACTTTGTGAAATGGCGCAGGATTAGGCAATGTTTCACTCGGATGTACATAAGGCAGCCCTGACTTGGACCCAAGTCAACAGCCAAGAACCACCGCCACCGCCTCGTGTTTCCATCTATCCGATCATTGAACTGTCACAAAACCCCTGTGCAGTAACTATCACTACGATTGCTGTTCTACAGATAAGAGATGGTGGTGATGAAGGAAGGTGTCTTGCTTGTGGTCAGCAAGGTGGAGGCAGAATTCCAGCCCAAACCAACCCCGAGGGTTTGGCTCTGTCTGTCTTGTTTGTGAATTAGCCCCACCTTTTACACTGAGGTGTGTTGGGAGCATTCAGGTCAGGCCCAGGCTGGGGAACCTCAGAGAATTGATGTTGCTCTTACAAACTCATCACTTTAAGGATACTTGGAGGGTTGCAAAGATGTGATTCTCTGAGAGTCAGCTGCATGAGTGCCAAGTCAGCCTTCCTAGTTTCCTGGGATCCAGATCTGAGCTCTCTCAAAAAGAAAATCCTGATTCCTATGGCCTAAGCTGAGGATGTATTGACTCCACCCCTTCCTTCAGATATCCAGGGCCCCTGCATACCTGTCCAGTGGTGAGGGAACGGGTGTAGCCAGGGATAGAGCTCCGGGGATGGATCCGGGGTGGGACACAGCAGCTGGAAAAGTCAAGATTCTACAATCAGAACAGGGTTCAGCTAAGAGGTGTAGGAGGGGGAACGATAGCACTGGGGCTCTGAACAGGTTCTATCCACCATGGACCCCCCATGCAGAGCTCTCCCCAGGGTCCCTAGTAGAGATTCTGATTCCCCAATGAGGCACTTTGAAAGGGACCATCACCACGAGTGCCGACACAGCGTGAGATCTTCTAGGCTACCCAGTCGATACCCAGGCTACACACACCTCCTGCAAGGGCCCATCATCAGCTTCCTGTACCCATCCCCACTGCCCCAGAATTCCACCCCATTCTTACTTGATCCGGGCCTGGTCCACGCTGGAGGAGCGGCGGGAGGTGAAGCGCCGGGCAACTGCTTTGGGAGATGTCTTGGGGCTGCCATCCGAGTCTCCACTCTCCTCGTCCCCCATGGCTTTGATGTAGCTGCCGCTCCGCATCCTGCGGCAAGGAATCTCCCCATCTTTGCCACCAGTTGGGTAACCCCCCCAGTCATCTTGCGGCACCTGTGGGGACAGGGTCCTCTATCTCTGAGACCCAGTCCTACTAAAATTAGAATCAGAACCCTTTCTCCCCACTGCCAGCAGGAGGTGCTCTGCTCTGATCACACCCATGCCCCACACTCTCCTTAACAGGAGACAATGTGTCGTCACCCTCCCCAGGCCTTCTGTCACGTAATTGAGAGGCACCTCGAGAATCGACTGCCCTCTCCCTTCTTATGAGGAGCCAGGGAGGATTCTAAGCAGGGGTGTGACACCAGATGTATGTTTCAGAAAGAGCACTTCAACCGTCCGAGCAGAGGATGGGTTGCAGAGGGCCAGGGGCAGGGCAGAGCTCAAGTGGTGGCAAGCAGACCAATTAGGAGGTGGATGCTGTTCTCCAGGCAAGAGATGAGGAGGCCTAAATTAAGACAATGGCAATGAGAGGGGTGAGGAGGAGATGGAAATGAGAGATGTTAAGGAGTTTCCGTGAGCTTGATTAGACGTGGGGGTGAGGGGGTGAGGCGGAGTCGAGGATGACTGTTAAGATTTCTGGCTGAGGACTTGGAGGATGGTGCTGTGCTCACGGAACCACAGACTCCTAGAGAAATGGTCTCGGCGGGAACGGTGATGGGCTCAGGGTTGAGTGTCGGGGGTTTGGCACGGAACTATTGAGCAGGGAGCTGGGTTTGGGGTTCTGGAGCCCAGTGGGGAGATCTGGGCTAGAGGGAGATATTTGGAAGTCACAGGTAGCAGTTGAATCTAAAAGAGTGCATGAAACAGCCAAGGAGGAAGAAGAAAAGAGAGCCAGGGAGGGATGCTCTGACATTTAACAAGGTCTGGCAAAGAAAGGAAGAGGAATCTGTGAAGTTACCTGGAAAGGAGTGGGCAGAGGGGTAGGAGGGAAGTCAAGAGAATGCCATGTCATAGAAATAGGAGGCATTTAGAGATTAAAGAAGTCAATAATGTCAAATGCCACAGTGCATTCAGAGGTTAGTGACTTGGGCCCAGGAGTTAGACAGATTCAAATCCCAACAGCCCCATCACTTGTTAGCTGGGTGAACTTGAGCAAAATTGAGTAATATGCAAGCCTCAGTTTCCTCATCTGGAAAAATAATAGTGATGACTGTGCCTGTATCATAGGGTTGTTAGGAAGGGTAGATAAGCCAAAACAAAATGCATAGCATATAGCAAGTCCCTAATAAATCTTTGCTATTATTAGTATAAGCACTGAAAAATACCTTTTGAGGCTAGCACTTAGGAGGCCAGTGGTAACCACCACCAGGGCACTTCAGAGGGGGAAGACTGCAGAGAAAGGGCGAATGAAGGGAAGGGAAGAAGTGGAGTCCATGCTCTGAGAACTTGGGTATGAAGAGATGACAGACTATGGAAGGGCACACGAGTTGGGAGAGGATGCTTTAGCATGGAAGAGGCTTGCTCCTGTTTTCAGGACCAGGGAAAGAACTAGTAAAGGGAACGATGGTTTCTAGGTGCTGAGGTCGGGGAGACAGGTCCTGGCTGGAAGAGCTCCTAAGGGGATGATCCCAAGGCCCTGGGGGTAGTTTCAGCATAGCGTTCCCTTTGAGCCAGGAGGGGAAAGTGCCTGGGAATCTAGAAAGGTCTACAGCATGGCCAGGAAGGAGAAGTTGGCGTATGATGGCTGGTCCCTACTGTGAAGAATGAGGTGCCGTGAAGGTGGTGGGGAGAGGGTTGGAAAGATGGAGAAGATGTTTGACAGAGCACCTGCCGTAAGGAAAAGGGTGAGTGGGGTGAGGATGTGGGCTCTGGAAGGGTTCAGGGCTCAGGGAGGGCATGAGAGCTCACAGATCACATAGAGAGTCTGGGAATGGGGCTAGGTGAGGAGACCAGGAGAATGCCAATCAGAGATGGGACTGGGCTCTGTAAAGACCCCAGTCAAGAAACGGGGCTCCACTAAAGAACCTCCAGGGAAGGAGACACGGGCCCAAGAACACTCCAGGACGTCATGAAGAGGCTCGGGGTAGAAATGGGGGTTCCAGAAGAAGGTTGATGGAACGCTGGGGTCCAATGAGAGAAACAAGCTCTCCACAGAGAAGCCTAGTCTGGTGGGGGGCCAGGCTCTCCTGTGTTTGTACCAGGGAAGCAGAAGGCTGTTAGGAGGCTCTCGGCAGCCCCCTGGCTCACTTTCCTATAGAACCAGACTTTCCAAACCTGACATGCTCTAGAATCTCAGACCTTGGTGGCTCATTCCCCTGCCCCATACGCTCCGGAGAGGAGCCACAGGCAGGTAGAGAGGCAAGCCAGCAGATGGGACAGCAAGGGCATGCTCTGTCTCACTGCAGGGTTCCGGCTCCACAGCCACTGCAGAGCTCCTTGCTCCTCTGCAGGACACTGTGAGGCGCATGTTAAGAAGGAAGCCCCCGCAGGTCATGGCAGCCCTGGAGAAGCAGCGGGGAGCTTTAGAGTGGCATTGAAGCTCTCGAGCTGGCACGGGCTCCCATATAGGGGTGGAAGGGTGGTTTTATACTACCCAGACCCCTTCTGCCAGAACCTTCAATTCTCAGCTTAGAGTACATCCCCACCCAGGGAGGTTGCCATTCAATTCCAACTCAGAAATCTCCAATCCTAGAAGTCTCTGACCGCCTCTCTGTCTCTGATCCCCTCCTGCTTCTAGCAGGCCTTGTATGCTCTCTTGGGTTTTCAGAGAGTTCCCCAGGGAGGCTCAACCACATGCACATTTTACAGGCAAAACCAGTAGTGGCCAAATAACAGCGACAGGCACACGTAGTCTCGAGTTCCGAAACCTTGGAGCATGCTGTAGTCTCTTCCTAGAAGGTCATTAATCTACTGGACCAAATCCATAGCCACCTAGAAGCCATTCCTAGCCACGTCCAGCCACCATCCCTGCAGGTAGATGAAATGCCTTCGTTGTGCATCATGAAGACCAGGACTCTCCTATCACAACCTCGTCACACTGTCCTCTATTGGACATCAGGAACTACCCCCTCCTTAACTGGGAGTGCACCCCAAGAAGTACCTGTGGCTTCCCTTCTGGATTCAGGGCACCCATGAAAGTCTCAGTGAATGAATGGGGGACAAGCGTGAGCCCTGTGAGTGTTGGTGCTAACCCAAGCCACCTCTAGAATTTGTACTGTTTTTCTCTTCACTCCCTAAAACTTTGGGAGGCCTCCTGAAAGCAGACCGGAAGGTATGGGGAGCCTGAAGCAGGCGTTGGGAGGGGGAATAATAGAGAGATAAGCTCCTTACACCTGGTCAACGGTGAATGGATGAGGGTGAGATGAAGGCTCCTGAGAAGAAGGGGTCATAACTCTGAGCCTCACCATAGGTGTGGTAACACAGGGTGGCACTTGCGTCCCAGCTCTCATATGCACCATCCCAGGAGGCCCTGCCTAGCACTCCATATGGGCTCAGGCTTCAGCATACCTGTCTATCCCACAACCCAGGAGACAGGGCTCTCGGCTAGCCACTACAGCAGCGGTTCTCAACCTGTGGGTCGCGACCCCTTTGGAGGCCGAACAACCCTTTCAGAGGGGCCGCCCAATTCATAATAATAGCAAAATGACAGTGATGAAGTAGCAGCGAAAATAATTTTATGGTTGGAGGGATCACCACAACATGAGGAACTGTATGAAAGGGTCGTGGCATTAGGAAGGTTGAGAACCACTGCACTACAGGCTAGCCCACTACCAGCACCCCACCACAAAAAAACGCCAGCAGAAGAACCTTTAGAAAGAGGAACCCTTTTTGAAGGTCAGCTTGACCTTCACATTCAAACAAAAGCTGGACCTGTCTGAAGTGTGCAGAAAGGGATCCGGAGAAAGGCTCGGGCCGGAGATCTGTTTTCTGAATGCTGAGTCCAAACTCAAGAGAGGCTACAACCAGGTTGCCTGACACTCTGTTGTCTGGTGTTGACCCTCTACCTCACCCCTGCTTCACCCCCACCAGACAGGCCAACATAGATAGTCCACAAGGGCACATCAAGGGGAAGTCCTTCTGGCCCTGACCTACCACGTGCAAAAAAATGTCACTGCACAAATGGGGAGATGGAAGTTCCTAAAGAAAAAGAGGCATCTCAAGATAACACAGCAACGTTATCCCTGCCTCTGTTAAATGGGGTAGCAGACCCCCATTTAGACCTCCCCGCTGCTCCCTGGGTGACAGTGCTGGTAAGTAAGGGCGGAGGACCCTGTTGCCCACCTGTACCAAAGTCTCACCTGCAGATAGTGGTAAGTCCTGGCTTTGGCCTTGGTCTCTGGACCCAGGAGGCCCTTGCCTGGCCCAGACCCTGGATAGCCATCCCGGCCCTGGCTGACCATCATAGTATGCCAGGCACTTCTCTTGACTGATTGTCCATCCAGTGACATGGACATGCCAGTGCAGGCAAGACAGCGGCCTTCTGACCCGCCTGAGCGGCCCCTGAAGCTCAAGTCCCGGTAGGACCCATCTGGAGCCTCCAGGCAGAAGGGCCCACCAGGCTCCCCAGGGGGCTGCCCGCCCACCAGGAAACCGCTATCACTGTCCAGGTTGTCGTCTGAGCTCCACCAGCCCGCCGCCTTGGTCTGGTGTCTCCCATCCCCCTTTCGGTCCTTGCTCTTGCTCCTCTTGCCATGCCGGGACTGGTGGTGGTGGTGGTGGTGATGGTGGTGGTGGTGGTGGGAGGTGTGAGGGCCTCCAGAGCCAGAGTAGCTGTCTCCCCCAGAGCCCCCTCTGGCCTCAGCCTTGGGCCCATTATAGTCCCGCTTCCCCGGTGCCTCCAGAGAGTGGGACTTGGCAAAGAGCTTCTGCACAGAATGAACCAGGTGCCGGATGCGGCTGGGGCTCTCGCTGCGGGCCTCGGGGGTAGTGCCAGCCCCTGGTCCTGGCCCAGGCCCAGCCCCTGCTGGTCCTCGCTGGTAAGGAAGCGTGTGAAAACCATCTTGTTGTACTGGCAGCTGCTTTTCAAACTGGTCCAGGAGGGTGGGAGGCAGGCGGGGGGCACCCTTGCCCTGTGGGTGGCCCACACAGTCTTCACAGGTGTCAAAAGGGCCCTGGCCGGGGTACATCCTGGGGAAGGTACTGCTACCCCCCCCAACCCCACCCCCTCCTGGCCCTCCCTCAGGGCCTACTGATGGCCCCTCACTCAGGCTCAAGGGCCCTTCAGGAGAAAGGTGTCCCAGGCCAGCTCTCTGGGCACAGAAGCGGGGCTCGGTGGAGAAGGCCTCCCCGGAGCCCAGCAGGTACGGGGCCCTGGCAGCTGGGCCCACGTCCATATGCTGTTGGTCAGCAAAGCGGGCTGGGCGGGGATGGCTGCCTCGGTCGCCATGGTAACCCCTCATGGCCTCAGCAAAGGCTCTTCATAGTGTTGGGGGCCAGGCCCCAGGATCCTCCTAAGAAAAGAGGGAGAAGGGGAGTTGAACCACAGGTCACTTCCGTAAAACCCCCTTCATTAGGTATTGTTTTCCACATTTACTGTCACTAATTGTGCTGTCTTTCCACAAATAGGCTTAAAAAGCCCGTAAATAGGCAGACTAGAAGAAAGAGACACAAGGCCACAAAATAATCCCATCATTCATCAAATGCTGCCAATTTGATAAATATTTATTCACAAGAAAGAAATGCCCTCAGCCAAATGGGTTTTCTAAAGTCCTTGAGTTCCCCCAAATGAAAGGACACCCGGACTCATATAAATATGCAAAGGAGCCAGCCATTAGGTGAACTAGCTTTTAATCATCTGGCTTTGGGCAAAAGGATCCAGAGCCAACCCAGCTACCCAGTGCTTCCAAGAGCCAGGCTTCAGCTCCCAGCAGCAATGACCAAAGCAAATCCTCAACCCAAATCCAGTACCATTCCACAGGGAAAGCCCTGCCCTGCCTTCCACGCCCTGTTCTTCCCATCTGGCTGCAGGCTCACACTCCCTTCCCTTAGGACTGAGATAGGAAGGAAGACCTCAGATGACTCCTCCCTCCTCACCCTCCCACCCCCAAAATCAACTCACTGCCTTCCAGTCCGCTCTGACTCATAATGACCCGACAGGACAAGGTGGAATCCCCTGTAGGCTCCCAAAGCTGCAAACCGTTACAGGAGCAGAAAGCCTCATCTTCCCCCTGCCTTCCTCCCCTGCTTCCAAAGATTCCCCAGTGAAACTTTCCCTTTCACTTTTATCCCCACCTGCCCTATCACTTTACTGCCTTGGGGGTGGGGAGCGTGGGGATGGTGGGGGGGGGGATCATAAAGAGGAGGAGGAAAGCTGAGGTGGGGCAGGATCTGAATCCCAAACTGGGATTGGAACCCAGGCACTCCTACCACCTGGGGACAGTGAGATAGCAGGCCAGGGAAGTGACAGGGAGAACATTTTGGAACCAGTGCCCCTGGCCACCATCCCAGACTTGCCCAGGCTACAGGACAGAGAGGTCAGCTCTCAGCAAGATCTGCCTCTAATCAGGACTCCAGGAGCTGTCAGGACAGGAGCTCTGGCAGGGAGGGTATCAGCAGGAGGGGCAGGGATTGAGAGCTGGCAGACGGCTCTCTGCCTCACCCCAGACGAGGCTCCTGAGCCATCTGCTGACAAGGAGAGCATGACAGCCTCCAAGACTCCGGACAGCGACATCTCAGAGACTCAGCCCCTCCCTTCCTCCCCTTCCCACCACTTCCCCATGCTCACCCTATCTCAGACTCCTTCCAGAGCTTTCCTGCTCACAGCTCGCTGCCCATTATTCCTCCAGCACTTGCTATGTGCCAGATACTGTACATACCCCACTGAAATCCTGCGATGTGGGTATTAGCCACCTTTTGCCTATGGAAAAATTGAGGCTCCACAGGCCGGGAAGTGGGTGAGTCACTTTGAATTAAGATTCAAAGCAAGGTGTTCTGCCTTGAGAACCTGAACTGAATCCCCATCTCCCATACACCTACCACTCACCATCTGGGGTGTCCCATCCTGGGTTTCAGGGCCCCACCACCAGCAGGATCCTAACTTCAGAAGGCTCAGGACCGCCGGCCCCTGGCAGAAAAGGAAAGGACCATGAGTAAAGAAAGAACAATGTTCTCCCAGAGTCCTCAGGGGACCATCTCTGGCCCTGACAATCTCCCTGCCCAACCTCCCACACCAGAACTGATTGGATCTCCCATGATGCAGCGCCTTTGGACCCCAGGGAAATGAAGTTAGCTTCATTATGCAAATGCATGTAAATGAGCTTACAGGTTGGACTACCTCCAACTGCAGGTGTCTGTGTGATCTGTCCACGGTGCTGAAAACTGCTATTTCATTGCCTTTAAATATGATTCCATTCCACAAGCATTTGTGGAGTAACTACCACAAGCAAGATTCTGGGTAAAAAGTATATAGAGACGATTTCAGTGTTTCCCCATCTTTAAAGGGCTTATAGTCTAACGGGAAAACAACTTCTGACATAACAAAGTTGTTTTAAGTCCTTATAGTCTTGCACAAGATGTTCCCTCCTACAAATGTCCCTTCACCCACCCTAAAACCCTTCCCCTAACACCGAGGCTAACATAGTTATTATGCGTGGCCTTCCCTCAAAAATCTTATACAATCTGTAGGATGCCTGGTAGTGCTTGATCAGGGCACTGTAACCGAGAGGAATTACTCAAACCCAAATGAAGACCAAACATGATAGTGGGATAAGAGGAAAGTAAAAGGAAATATAGGAAAGAATTAGGAGGCAAAGGACATTTATAGAGGTCTAAACACAGGCGCGTACATATGTAAATATATTTATATATAACAATAGGGAAATAGATCTATGTACATATATTTATATGTTAAGTATTAAGGTAGCAGACAGACATTGGGCCACTACTCAAATACTCCCTCAACTCAAGAACACTTTGTTCTAATAACCTGGCATTCTGAGATGTTAACCTTCCCGACAGGATCGCTGAAGACAAAATGGGTGCATAAGCAAATGTGGTGAAGAAAGCTGATGATGCCTGGCTATCAAAAGATATAGCATCTGGGGTCTTAAAGGCTTGAAGGTAAATAAGCGGTCACCTAGCTGAGAAGCAACAAAGTCCACATGGAAGAAGCACAACAGCCTGTGTGATCATGAGGTGTTGACAGGATCAGGTATCAGGCATAAAAGACCCAGAACAAAAAAATCTTGTCAATGTGAATGAGGGGGAGTGCAGAGTGGAGACCCAAAGCCCATCTATAGACAATTGGACATCCCCTTACAGAAGGGTCACAAGGAAGAAACAAGCAACTCAGGGTGCAGTATAGCACCAATGAAACATACAACTTTCCTCTAGCTCTTTAAAGCTTGTTTCCCCACTATCATCACCCCAATTCTGCCTTACAAATCCGGTTAGACCAGAGGATGTACATTGGTACAGAGAAGAGCTGGAAACACAGGGAATCCAGGACAGATGAACCCCTCAGGACCACTGGTGAGAGTGGCAATACCAGGAGGGTGGAGGGAAGGTGGGGGAGGAAGGGGGAACCGATTACAAGGATCTATATATAACCTCCTCCCTGGTGGATGGACAACAGAAAAGTGGGTGAAGGGAGACATTGGTCAGTGTAAGAGATGAAAAAATAATAATAAATGATAAATTATCAAGGGTTCATGAGGGAAGGAGGGTGGGAGAGGGAGGGAAAAAATGAGGAGCTGATACCTAGGGCTCAAGTAGAAAAAATATTTTGAAAATGATGATGGCAACAAATGCACAAATGTGCTTGACACAATGGATGGATGGATGGATTGTGATAAGAGTTATACAAGCCCCCAATAAAATGATTAAAAAAAAAAAAGAGTTGCAGCCTTCAAAACCCACAGGGGTAGTTCTACCCTGCCCTATTGGGTCACTTTAAGTCAGAAGGCTTCATGGAAGTGAATTTGGGTATATATTTGAATATATACATACATAGGAAAACATTGGGCATTGGGTATATATGATATATGTGTATATATATGCATGAATACATACATTTATGTGCTTTTCTCATTTTCTCCTATGGAGAACCCAGCCTGAGACCGTGGGCATGATTAATAGCAGTGGAAAAGATGGGTCTGACATCAGAAAGGGCTTCCTGATCCTGAGGGACATGAGACGGTGAGGAAGATCGCAGACTCTCCTGCAGATCTTCCGTGGAGGAGCAAGGGAAGGAGAGGGCAGCCTTGCCAGATTCTGACCCAGCCCGTGGCTTGCTCTGGAAAGGGGGCAGCCTTGCCAGTTTCTGACCCAGCCCGTGGCTTGCTCTGGAAAGGCAGCTGGTTTCCTTCCCTGGAGGGAGATGGGGTGAGCACACAGATACCAACTGCCTGGTTCTACATGACAGTTCTGTTCCTTCAGTGGTCTTCTCTGGGGAAGCAGCTGGGACTTGATATCAAGGTGGTTTCCCACGTCGTTGTTGAAAAAGCGTGCGGCAGCCCCTCCTGCCTTAGAAAGAAGTTTTGATGGACCAGTCCCTCGGCTGTGCTTGCTCCTCCTCTCCTTCCCGTGCCATTTGCTTGCCTTGTGGCTACCTCCAGCTGGAGCCTCACTCTGAGCTTCAGTACGGGATGTTCCCAGGTTCCCCCCACCCCCACCCCCTGCACAGGTGCTGCTGCCAAGCCCCTGAGCTTTTTCATCAAGGCCTTATCAAACCTCAGCCTCCTTGGCATCCATTTGTGGCCTTCTAGTCTCAGGGGAGATAGGTCCCTGTAATTGCTCCGCGCCAGACAAACAGCCCCCTGGCCCCGTTACAGTGGGCTCTCATGGCCTCTACAAGCAGCAATATCTAGTGGAGAAGGCGTACGCGCTGGAATCAGACGATCTGACACCCAACACGTGACCTGCCATCTCTGAGCCTAATGATACCTGCTCACCTCTCTCCCAGAGTTTTAATGAATATCAAATGATAGCATGCATATTTAATCACTTATATAAACTCTAAAAGATTATACAATATAACCCTTCATGTGAAGTCTTTGTTTTAGATTTCAAAAATCCCCAGTGTCCAAATAGTCAACAATATAATCAAATTAAAAACACTAGGGGAAAAGATAACCAATTTATGGATTTAATCAATGACTGGCTTCCTCCTATATATTATATTTTAGGATTTCATTCCTCCACCCGTTGGCCCCATGATGAACATAATCAATAGGAAGGAGAAGCAAGAGAAGAGAGGGCTAATATTTCAATCTGTCACCAAATCCTACGGGCTTTGCCTCAGGCATGCCCTCGTATTTCCATACGCACCAAATCATTATGGACTGACTAGGGAAAACCCATTCCCACCCTCCTTTTGTCTTTCCCAGTCTTCCTCTAACTACGAAGAAAAGACTGGGAATCGACTTCCACCAATCAGCCAATGAGAATCCTTTGGACCACAAGTGATCCTGAGGATGGGCTGGGACCAGGCAGCATTGCCCCATTGTGCACGAGACTGCCAGAGTCAGGGTCTGACGCCACAGCCACTGACAGCAAAGAACGCGGCGGAACTGACAGCAGGTGTTTGCAGACGGAAGGTGAACCTACAGAGAGCCAGCCCTTCAGATATGATTCCGGTTTGACTCATGAGGTATATGTAAGAGTCTGATGAGGGTGTCTGGGAAACGTTTTTGCCATCCCTGCTCTTTCTCTCGGCGTGAATGCAGCCGTGGTGGCTGGGGTGATGGCAGCTCTTTTGCTGTCAGGAGGTTAACAGAGATGCTCGGCCTGACACCGTTGAGTCATGGTCCCAGGACAAGCAGCTGCCTCCCGCCAGACTTGTTTGTGATAAGAAATAAACTGGAACCACCATTGGTCATTTTGGGGGTATTGGCAGTAGAGAGCACTGCTACAAATCCAGCCGCCTCAAAACATCATCTCCTGCCCGGACTTCTGCAAAACCCTCCTGACTAGTTTCCCTGGTCCTCTTCTTGCCCTTCTCCAACCCAAATGGTCACTTCGAAACACAAATCCGATCCTGTCGTGGCTCCACTTAAAACTCTTCCTTCGACTTATTGATGTCCTCCGGATCAAACACCTTAAGCTGTCCAGCAAGGCCCGCCAGGTCGAGCCCTCCTCTGGCCTCTCCCCATATGCCATCCCCCTTGCTCGCTCGCTCCAGCCATTGCGTTCTTGTCCAGCCCCTGCTCCCTCACATCACGGGGCCTCGCCCCCTGACCAGAAAGCTCTTCCTGCCACCTCGGCCTGGCGAACTCCTGCACACCCTTCAGATCTCAGCCCAGTTGCTGCTTCCTCGGGGATGCTCTCTGGCCTCCCTGACTAGGTCAGATCCTCCTGCTGGTTGCTCGCAAGGCACTATGTACCTGTGCAGTTGTCATCGTCCCCGTTTTAAATGTGTGTGAGCGTCTCAGAGTTCCCATCTCTCCCATGAGAATAGAAGCGCCGTGGGAGCACAGGAATCCTGTCCGTATTATTCACCGCGTTATTCCCAAGTGGTTCTCAACATGTGGGTTGGCGACCCCTTTGGGGGTCAAATGACTCTTTCACAAGGGTTACCCAATTCATAACAGTAGCAAAATGACAGTTATGAAGTAGCAATGAAAATAATGTTACGGTTGAGTGTGGGGGTGGGGGTCCCCACGCCATGAGAAACTGTATTAAAGGATCTCGGCATTAAGAAGATTGAGAACCACTGCCCTAGACCAATGCTTGGGGACAGTGGCGGCTCCGTGTTAGACTTCTCACCTTCTGTGCTGGAGACCCGGTTTCAATGACCATTTAACACACTTCATGCACAGCCACCGCCCATGCTGCTATGACCGTGAACTGTACTAAATGGGGAGGAAGGAGGAAGGAAGTTCATCTAAGGGGTGATGAACCAGGAGGAAAGCCTTGAGGAACTCAGCCGGTGAGAATTCTAGGGATCACAAGTGACCATGGGGATGGCCCCGGACCAGGCAGCTTTCTGACTTGTTGGGCATGGGCCTGTCAGAGTCAGGGGCCGACTCAACAATAACTAACAACAACAAACAACACTGCTTAACAGACAGCAGGTGTTTGCCGAGGGAAGGTGCACTTACAGAGAACAGCTCTTTGGCCTCAAGTTTGTCTATCTGGTCCCCACAGCTATTCAAAGAGGTCAATACAATTCCCCAAATCCAATGCACTCACTGTACGGAAGCAATGGAGACCTGGAGCGGTTAACCGACTCACCCCAGGGCACACTGAGAGCTGAGGCTCAAGGTCAAAGCTGCCAGGCTCCCATGCCTTACCTTTTCTCCCACCTAGGCGGCAAGCCTAGAGAAATCAAGCTCATGAAATCACCCCATTGGGAAGTCAACATAATCATGAAAAGGGAGCCTGCTTTTTCAAAGAACAAGCCAACAAACCCGCCTCACCCTTGCCACACACTTTAGAGTGGCTCAGGATGCGGCGTAGCCTTTTCCCCTGCGTGATGAGCAGTGAGTTTGCTCTGAACCCAAGGTCAGAGATGCACAGCATACATAAAGGAAGCTCCTGGAAGCCCTACAACAGCCCTAGGTGCTGGGTGTAGGCTCCCCGTTCTGGTGCACCCGGTCACCCGCTACTATGCCAGGACACAAAGTGGTCTCCGTCTGGTGAACCTCTGGGCCCAGGGAAGCAGCCTTTGTGCTCCTGCCTGGGGCTGGCTGGGAAGGTGGGGAGTGAAGGCAGCGAGGAGGGTGCCCTGTGTGACAAATGCTGCTGATGTAACGCGACTCTCTCTGGGAATGGAAGAAGTGGCACACATACCGTCACCAAGAAATTACCCAATTTAGCACCAACTACACAATCCAGCAATTAGTCTCTTAAACCGGAACTTGCTGGGGGCTGCCAGGCTGGCGGGGCTGTTGTTACAAATCTCCCTGGGAAACCAGCTGTGTAATTCGCCAGGAGGCTGTCACTGCCCCAAGCAATTACCTTCCAGAAAAAGAGTGGGAAGTGGGGGAGGAAAAGGGCCGCAGAGGAAGGAGTCTAGCATCTTCTCGTCCTCTCCCCTGGGGCCCTGCCCAGCCAAGTCCGTTGATTTTCCTTTACGACCTTTGCTGCTCAGAAGCTCCCAAGATCAAAGCCGTTCTCTGTAGGTTCTCTGACTTGAGGAGATCTGGGTTCAAAGCCTTTGGGGCTCACATACTAGCCACGTGTACTTAGGGAACTTCTCCTGGCCCAGGTTCTCATCGGTAAAATGGAGAGAATGTCCAAACCATCATAAGGGTACCTAATGATGTGAGTTAATGAGGTAAAGCATATAATTCACTAGCACTGTACCTGGTGCTTAACCTGCTGGGCCACCAGGGCCCCTATGAAGGTGACTCTTATTATTTGCACTTTTACTACTTCCGAATTATTTTACAGTGTGACTTTGGGTCGTTCACTTGATCTCCTTGGGCCAGTCACATAAGACCAAAGGCACACTGCTGGGGAAAAGGAGAGAGGGTGGGGGAGGGAGAGGGAAAACAATGAGGAGCCGATACCAAGGGCTCAAGTGGGAAGAAAATGTTTTGAGAATGATGATGGCAGCAAACGTACAAATGTGCTTGACACAATGGATGGATGGTGATAAGAGTTGTATGAGTCCCCACTAAAATGATTAAAAAAAAAAAAAAGGATTGTTCACACCTAGGGAGCCAGTGTCTAAGGGGCTGACACGAAGAATTGTCTTGGAAAAATATAAAGATTTTGAAAATCAAATAGTCAGAGTCACTCCCCCAGGAATCTACCTGGGAAGGCTACAAGCTGGGCATTATGGTGAGACAGGAGATGTAGTTGCTCTGTCAACCTGTGCAACCGATTCCCCCACCCCAACACACACGCAGAGGGAGACACACACACACACACACCCGGGAGCCATGAGGTCATCCCACATCAGTCCAACAATGCAGAATTTACAGCAATCGGGGCCTGGAATTCACTTTGCCACTGTCTCTTCGGGTTCCACCATGTCTGTGAGTGAGCCATGTGTGTCCTTGGGACTTGCAAGTTCCAGCCTTTACCAAACCGCTCCTCTGCCCATGTTGACCTAACAGATATGGCCAGGATTCTGCTTGTTTCTCTCACCACCCTACACCTGCCCTAGCAGTGAAAGGGACGGCCACCGAGAGCCACAACGTGGAGCCTCAGGCGTGCAGTCCACATGCCTGGTTGGTCACCTGGGCACAGGGGGGCATGACCCTCACCACTTCCTCCTGCATGCAGTTCTGCCTGAGCCTCCTTGCCCATTTTGATCCTGGCTCTGCCCAGCTTCTCTTGGGCAGGATCTCTGGTGCCTGTCCCTCCATCCCAACTCGCCAGCCCTGTGGCAGAAGACTCCGCATGACTTAAACCCAACTCTAGTCTGTTAAGACCCCAGAGAAAACCCCCCTCTCCTACCTCCCTGCCCCAAAAATGGAGGAGAAAAAGGAGGGGGTTAGAATGGCAGATGGGAGCTTAGGGGTCTTATTCCTTCACCTTTATTACCTTTTTATTTAATCAACTCTTCCTGGAGGCTTAGGGAAGATGGTGCAAAAAATGGGCTTACTAGCTCCAAAACCCTCAAGAAATTTAGGCAGATCTAAGCCTAAATCCATCTCCGGACCGATAGGATGGTATCCAGCCATTGAATAACCCACACTACTTATAATCTCTTTTTTTTTTAATTCCCCCTCAGGGGGGGCTTTGCACTTGATGTTCTCTATGCTAGAACGCTCTGCCCCAGATATTTCCATGACTTCTTCCTTCTCATCTTTTGGGGTGCCGCTCAGAGAGGCCTTCCTGGACCACTCACTCCAGCTAAAGGCAAGCCTCATCCCCCAGGTAGGCGAGACCTCCACCTCTCTCATTGTCCCCATAGCATGACTGTGCTTTGAGGCGATTTTCTCTATACACGTTAATAGTATGTCTTCCCTATAGGATGTCATTCCTGCCGTATCTTTAAGTATCTACAACAATGCCTGCCACGTAACAGGAGCTCAAAAGCGATCTATTACATGAATGAATGTATCATGCACTCTACGTACAACAGCCCGAAGGCCCTCCACTCTTCCTCCTTGAAAGGCCTTGAAGAGTTCCTGAAGATTCAGTATCCTGAGCCCGTCCTCCAGGCCCAGCCCTGCTCATCTTGTGCACCCAGCCCTCTCGACTGGCAAGTAAAAGATGGTTCTTTTCCAGTCACATCACGGTCTCCCCAGTTGTGCCCTTTTGCTTGGTTGAAAGGGGTAGGGAGAGGAAGAAGAGTGACACTATGCCCACGGAAGAGAGGGAGACAGAGGCTGTAGGGAGAAAGCCCCGGGGCTGAGCTGCAGAAGCAGGATCCACCACCTAGCCCCAGGAGGTCTCTTCAAACGTCCTGGGCCCCAGTTCCTCTCCCAGGCAGGTCGTAGGACCAAATGGTGCCAGAAGCAAAGTCTAGACTTCCTCCTCCTCGCCTCCCTCCTTCAGCACTGTCATGGCCCCTCTAGACACAATACAGCTTTCAAGCTGATCAGCCTTGCCCCCTCCTCACAGTCACAACTAACTGTTTTCTGCTCACTCTCAGCTGGCGCCTCCTCTCATCTCCACGGAGCCAAATCTCAGCCACACTGCCCTGTCACATACCCACCCATGCTCCCTCTCTCGAGAGGGCCTGCTTAGGGAAGTCATTCCTACCCACTGTGCGATCCCTAGGGCCAGAACTCCTGAGGATCCTGGTCAGAGCAGCTGGCGAGAATGCCTGTGTGTTCTGGGTCTTGAGCTAATCTACTTAGGTTCCAATTCTAGGTCCAACTTACTAGTCATTTGACTTAATTAAGTCCCTTCCGCTTTCTGAAGTTCCGTTTCCTCGTCTCTCAAAGAGTCCTTTTTTCACTGCGATGTCCCAAAGAATAATAAGAGAATGTAGCAAACTGTTCAGTACAGGGCCAAGGGTGAGCTATTGAGGAGAAAGAAGACACCATGAAAATGCTTAAGATCTGGAAACAGGGCCTCTGGGAGGGGCTCTCAGTCTCTCAGACAGCCTAAGGCTGAGGCTCTTGTCACACCTGAATCAGGATGGGAACATCAATGATGGGGTCGCTGAAAATGTGCTCATTTCATGCATCTAGGAATTTATTTTGAAAACCAGAGGTCCTTTTGAAGACCACCACCACCACACACACACACACCCCACAATCATGCAAAAGACAGTAGAGAAGTCCTGCTGGCTAAAGTCCTGGTATCTGGGAGAGCTAGACACCCTGGATTCACAGACCTTTCCTCCCCTAGAATCAGAGGTGGGGTTCTAGATTCCAAATCTAGAGATCTGGAAAGAAGAGGCCCGGGGACCTTCACTGCTGGGTGTTGGAGAGCCAATAGTCACTGCCTCCAACCATTACATCACAGCCTACCTGCAAGGCTATGAACGATTTTTCTCATCTGTAAAATGTGAGCAGTGGTAGTTCAGTGTTTATCGTCTCACTTTCCACAGAGAAGACCCAGGTTCAGGTTCTAATCAGTGCATCTCATGCGTAATCACCACCTGTCTGGCAGTGGAGGTTTGCACGTTGCTGTGACGCTGAATAGGTTTCGATGGAGCGCCAGCCTAGGAAGAAAAGCCTGTATATCTGCTTCCACAAAGTGGAAGCCCTATGGATAATGATGATCCACTCAACAGGGTCACGGGGAGGAGATGAGCCAGTCAGGGCGCAGTGTAGCACCGATGAAACACACAACTTTCCTCTAGTTCTTTAATGCTCTCTCCCCCCTCCCCCTCCACCGACTATCATGACCCCAATTCTACCTTACAAATCCAGCTAGACCAGAGCATGTACACGGGTACAGATAAGAGCTCACAACACAGGGAATCCAGGACAGATAAACTCCTCAGGACCAATAATGAGAGTAGTGATACCAGGAGGGTAAGGGAAAGGTGTGGGGGGCAAAGGGAGAACCGAGCACAGTGATCTACATATAATCCCCTCCCAAGGGGACAGATAACAGAAAAGTGGGTGAAGGGAAACATGGAAAAAATATTTTATAAACTCTCAAGGATTCCTGAGGGAGGGAGGATGGGGAAGGGAGGGGGGAAATGAGGAGCTGATACCAAGGGCTCAAGTAGAAAGAAAATATTTTGAAAATGACGATGGCAACAAGTGTACTAATGTGCTTGACACAATGGATGGATGGATGCATTGTGGTAAGAGCTGTACGAGCCCCCAATAAAATGAATTTTTAAAATGATCCAATCAGCAACCGATCATGAGGGCTGTGCAAAACTAGGCAGCCTTTCATTGGCTGGGCATGGGGTGGCCCTGAGTTGGGGGGTAACTTCATGGCAGCTAACAACAAATAGCTGCCTCCTAAAGTTGCTGTCAGGAAAGCACTGGACTCTAACCACAAGGGCGGGAGTACAAACCCATGAGCCACTCTCCGGGTAAAAGGTGAGGCTATCTGCTACTGTAAGTAGTTACAGCCTCAAAGCCTCACACAGGGTTGGATGCCTACATGCGGTTGATAAGCCATGGCATCGACTCAGTGGCACTGGGTTTGGTTCTTGAAAGTGGTGGCAGGGAGCTGATTTCTCCGAGCCAAGTGGCCCACATGCTTCCAGATGTTGGTTTCTCCCCATGTTAGCACCCCAGAGCCTTCTTTCATTTGTATATGTTTGATGAGATTTAGGTTGGTGCTACCTTGCCTCTGCTCCCCACACCCCTGCTCAATGTGCTACCAGACCTGAGCCTACCAGAACAATTTCTGGGAGCCCATGCCCATGGTTGATGGGGCAAGTGGTTCATGGCCTTTCCTGCCCTCTGACTCAGGAACCCAGACTCCACATGATGTTGGAGCACAGAACCGCCTCTTGGGCCAGCACACTTCCATAAGCTCTCCATGATACTGGGGCAGTCTGCCAGCACCACAGAGGAGGGTTAGGCCCCCACAAAGGCTTGACCCATATGGTACCACCTTGGTCCATATGGTAACCCCTCCAGACTCTCAGTTCTGACTGAAACTCTGCCTGCCCTTCTCCCTGTGCCTTCCCAGTTTCAGAGGTACATAAACCCCACTCTTAAAGTATGGGGAGGGGGACAGCACAGACTGAGGTTCCTCTGTTTGGGGGGCGGAGGGTCTGTCCTCACAACCTTGCCCGATTCCAAGAAGCCTTCCCTAGGTGTATCCTGCCCATCAACCCCAGGGCACAGCAGTGTCTTTCTTCTCCTGTATCCCATTCCGCTACCCAGCACGGCTGTGGGCTCCCTGAAGGCTCATCTGATCTACCTCGGTTTGGACAAGACCTGGTAAACAGTACACACTCAGTAAGTCCAGGGACAGGGATTGAGCCATTAAGAAGTAATATCCAGCAGTTAGGGTCCCTGGTGGGATAGTGGTTACACAGTGGGCTGCAATCCTCATGGTCAGCAGTTCGAAATCACCAGCCAGTCCTTGGAAGAAAGATGGGGATTTCTACTCCCGAAAAACAGTTACAGTCTCTGAAACTCCCTGGGGCAGTTCTACCCTGTCCTATAGGGCAGCAGTTCTCAACCTGTGGGTGGCGACCCCTTTGGGGGTCGAACAACCCTTTCACAGAAGTCGCCCGATTCATTACAGTAGCAAAATTACAGTTATGAAGTAGCAACAAAAATACTTTTATGGTTGGTGGAGGGGGGTGGTCACCACAACATGAGAAACTGTGAAAGGGTTTCAGCATTAGGAAGGTTGAGAACCACTGTTATAGGGTCATCATGAGTCAGAATCAACTCACTGGCAGTGAATGGCCAGGCAGTTGAAGCCTAGGGACAAGGTAGGAGTAAATGACTTCGGTAGCTGGAGCGTGACTCCCCAGCAGACAAAACTTGATATGGATTTCCTGAAAAGCTGTGAGTGCCCTGTCCAGGGAGAAATGTCCGCAGATGTGGGAGGACCCCTTTCCAGGCTGGTATAGAAGGGACTAGACAATCGTTGGCGCCTCTAACTCTGGAGTGTACAGCTCACCTCATGGCATGCCGACAGCTTCACAAGTCCTGTCTTCAGTCCTGTCTACACACATCCTGGATCAACCTGGCGACTGTAATGTGAAGTAGCTACTATTATTATCCCCAGTTCACAGATGAGGACATGGAGGAAATTGCCCAAGGTCATGCAGGTGGTGAAAGAGGGCTGTCAATCCAGGAGCGCTGTCAGGCCCTGTGCTGTACCCTCACTGGCAGTTGCCATCAAATAAATCCATTCTGTCTCCGGACGACCCCACAGACAAGAGTAGAACTGTCCCTAGGGTTTCCAAGGGGGGGACCTTTCAAAAGCAGATCACCAGGTCTGTCTTCTGAGGAACCTCTGGGTGGGTTCGAAGCACCAGCCTTTCATCTACAGTCGAGCACTTAATCATTTGTACCACCCAAGGGCTTGGGTAAACACAGCGCATCTCTAGTGACATGTCCTCTGATCCTACTGATCTGATAAGGCCACCACAGGACACCCCACCGTGTGCCCTGAATCCCCACCCAGCCGCCATCCCATCATCCCTCCCTTGCCCATACACACACGTTCCCAAGACTGTACATGCCCATGTGTGTACATTGTGGATGTGCACATGTGTTCATCCAGAGGTAAGTTGCACAGCCATGCACAATCACGCACACACAACTTCCTTGGGATCTAAGCTCACAGAGGCAGTCATCAAACACAAGCTTGTTCCTCCAGGGCTGGCAAGCATGCATACTATCATCCAATGACCATTGATGCCTGTGTGCATTGACCTGTTTATTCACATAGGCATTAAGGATGCAAAGCCCTAAGTGTAGGTCCACCTGCTCATCCCCACATGACAGAGATGTGTGTTCATTTCACCTTGCTCAGGCACCCACACATCTGCTCAATGTCACACCCCAAATTCTTCCCCAAGAGAACTTCACCACCGTTCCCAGAGTCAATACGAGGCCCAGGTGAGCAAATGAAGCAGCCTCCCTCTGCGGTTGGCCAGGCTGCCCTGAGATGGGGCGAAGGCTCGGCCTGCCCGTGATGGATGGAATTAATCTACTGAGCTGGAGAAACTAAATAATTAAATCCCTAATCACCCCCCAAGCCAGCCAGGCCAATATAGCTGTGGGAGGGAGGGGGCTCTGAGGCCCAGACTAATATCCTGAAGTGAGGGAAGGACTTGGAGAAAGAGGCAGAGATAGAAGCCTCTAGCCCGGGGAGGAACTCTGGGAGGCAGAGACACAGACAGACAGATGGGCACAGTTCTCCACGGCCGAATGTGGAATGGAGCCTCTCGGGAAAGACAGCTCGCCATGAGCCCTAAAACAGGGTGGGGGAGGCCCTCCCCAGGGCCCTCCATGCCCCTCCACAGGCTGCGTCCTGGGAGGGAATGAGGATGGTGTGCTCAGGACTGCAGCTGCTATGGGGAGCAGGGTCTTCCCCAAGGGGTACGGTGCTCAGGACTGTGGCTGCCATGGGGAGCAGGGTCTTCCCCAAAGGGTACGGTGTGGGGTGCTGAGGTAGGGCCAGACAGGCTTCACTCAGGACAGGTTCCCCGCCCCCCCTACCAGGTGGGATGGCAGGGGAGGCCCCACACCTTCACACAAGTTCACTGCTTCCCTCAGGAAGTGGGTCCAGCACGTGGAGAAGAGGCTGCGGATGGGGCCGAAGCCTGGGCAGGGGGGCTCGGGGAATCAGCCTGGGAAGAAGCCCCAATCCGATTGGCTGAAAAGTGGGTCATTTTCCTTTTGAAAAATAGTGAGAAAATGGAGAAGTAGGTCGGGCTCACATCCCCTCAGCCCCAAGCACCACCCCAACGTGAGGGCTTAGGGGAAGGGGGAGGCCTACGCAAGCGAAAGCCCGACTCCTCCGGAACCCTTGATGGGTCCTGGGGGGCCAAGGTTGTCATTTCTCAGGACATCCAAGGACAGGCACCCTCTTGAGGCCAGGGCTGAAACTCAAGCCCCGCCCCGCCTGGAGGGCCCTGAGCTGGGGCTGGAGCCCGGGCGAGGGGAGGCTGGGGGCTTTAGCACA